CGAAAAGCGAGAATTAATGCAAGAATCTGGTGCACGAGTACACTGGCTGAATTCGATAATATTATTTTAACCCCCTTAGACCGAGAGCCCACGTACAAAATACTATATTGATGAGTCTCATGTCAGATAATGTGATCGTAGGTAGATATTGTTGCCAATATCCGGAATATTTTTAATTTTCTTCTTTATCTTTTGCACTTTATGATATCTTGCCGCCGATATCAATAAAAAAATATGCTCAACTTTTTTCACAATTTGCATGTCAGATATTTTGTGTACAGCTAAATTGCCACGAAAGTAATTCCACGGAGCTCACTTTAAGCTGATTTTGGGGCGTAGATTACGAAAAAAATAATTAAAATGCTCAATTCCTCATAGTTTACTAGAGAAATGCTATTGACAAATATCCGAGAACAATAAAAACCATTGTTTTAGAGTTTCAAAAATATGTGTAATTTTGAAAAAAAAAAAAATTAATTCTGTCAAATTTTGTTTCTCGCGCAAATTCTTGTTGATAGCTTATGAACCGCTTGACGTAGACCAAAAGTGTAAGGAAGAAAGATGAAGAAGACACGTTTACGGATAAAAATGTAGTTGTAAGCATTGTGATCTGACGTATCGTTTACAGTATATAGCCTTTTTTCTATTGCCCGTCTAAAGGCGGTCTTGCGAACTAGAGGGTTAAGAAAATGTTCTCCATTGGAGCTTGTGGTTTCCATGTAAAGTTTAAAACGTATATCGAGTTCATTTACATATCTAGATATCTGCATCTGGGCATTCCAAGCACTAAAAGTAAGCAAATAGATGAGGAGCGGGAATTGACACAAGAAGCTCAAATGGAGAAGAATTTTTTCAAAAATAATTTATTTCTGAATGAAGTCATAAGGAATTGTGTTTTGTTCTACGTGTCATAATGACGGCGAGTTTACAACATCTAATTTTTGGGTATAAATCATACATCAAATTCGTGGATATTCAGTTATTGTTGAAGTGCTTCTGTTATAAACATGTTTAAGCATTTGCTGGGTGATTTTCTTTTTAGTTCTTTTTTTCCTTCATTTTTTTTTCTAATTTTTATTTTAGGCCCCTTACTTAAGATTTCAGTGTGTTTTAATCAATATTTTCTGCCCGTTTAGTTTGTTTGTTTTTCGCTGCGATATTGGGAAACCAATTCATGGTAACTTACAATTTTTCCTGTAATTTTTTCGATCGGTGACAAGAATTAGCTGATTTTAATGTTGTGAATTTATGAATAATAGTTTTTAAACCAATATCCAAGAAGGTGAAAATACTTTTGTTGTCTAACAGTTAATTTCACGTTTCTTCTCGAAAAGAAAAAGAAAAGACAATTTCTCGAAGTAATTTCCCTTCGAATTCCCATCTATTCAGTTCACTAGTCAATGGGCCAGAAGGGGTTGCTCATTTGTGTTGTTATCATGGTCACTTTGTGAAATAATCGCAAAATTGCGTCTCTGGGCGAATGGAGGATCTATTTTACATACAAATTGATTTTCAAAAACGAAGGAAAATCGAATAAAATACCACACGTTTCTTAATATCAAATAACCTCCCATAAGCTGCAGTCTATTAAAATTGTCTTCGAAGATTTGTTCGCTTGTTCAAAAATAATTCGAAAGTAGAGTGTGTTTCACTGACTCTGTGATGTAAGTGGACATTTCGGTTCGACTTAAACATGGTTGAAAGCTCATATACGTTCAATTTGGACGTTTTATCACAGTTTCCAACATTTTGCAAAAACTAATTCAAGATCAACACCTAATCTCACCCACACAACTCACAACATATTTGCTTCTCGTGTATTTCAAGTTTAATAACAACCAAACGAATGTTGATTTTATGAATATTCCTAAACAACCAAGAAAATGTGTCTAACTTTTTGAACAAATGAACAAGAGTTCGATGACCAATACTGAGTGAGCTACTGTGACATTACTGTTTTCTTTTCTCATTTCTAAAAATGCCCAAATTTTTTGTAAAGCTCTTCTTCGTCTACCAGACATAAATCGTTTTTTTTATTATTTTTACAAATCGTTTTTGTAATCAATTGATTTTTCATTTCAATGCATTCAATTTTGTTTATTTCGAACTAATTATCTTCATTCTTTTTTAATTTTCAACATGAAGCAAACTGAATGTGGGTTCATGAAACGAATGGAGGGAAAAATAATAAAAAGTAAGATTGAAGCTCCATTTATTTTTTAAGTTTCATTCTCACGATTCCATATGCGAAGAGCATTTGATATGAAGGCATTTTCCATATAACAAAGCATCAAATCCAGGGGACACTTCTCAAACTGAAAGTGTGGGTGGGTTGCTTAACAAAGCAAAGGAGAAATTTACAAACGGTAAGATCAAAGCTTCATTTTCTGTTTTTCTTTTGTCATCCTTTTGATCTTTTAACGCACGCACGCTCAATAGCTTAATGCGTGTACGTGTATGTATGTATGCGTTATACCCGTTCGCATGCTCACTGTGACATTTCATTGTTAAGTTACAGTGACTGCTAAGTTAACAGTGAATTTTATTGTGGGAAGTATTTGATTTTTTTTCTGTATATTTTTGATTTATTTATGTAAACAATTGTATTCCCACTACTCTGCCCGCTGGGAAAAGTTCATCTCACGGATGTAAGACATTTAATCCACTTCACTGATCTATTTTGTTTCCAAAACCATTTTTTAGAAAAAGACGGAAACCGGACAGCTCTTCATTCAGCTGCTTCCAGAGGTAATTTTAAATATTTAATGTTCACTAAATAAGAAATTGATTTAATCATTTTCATTGATATGTGTTATTTTTTAGGTAACAAGAAAGCCGCTGAAAAGCTCATCGCGAAAGGGGAAAAACTCGATTCCAAAGACTCTAAAGAGCGGACACCTCTTCACTTAGCTGCTAAGAATGGTGCTTGAATATTAAATTCCAGTATAGAAGAAATTAGTGTGATCTTTTTCGTTGATCTGTATCATTTTTCAGGGCACAAGAATACAGCTGGAAAGCTCATCATTAATGGAAATAATGTTGATCCTACAGACAATCTTAAGCGGACACCACTTCATTTGGCTGCTAAAAATGGTGTTTACCATTAATTATTCACTAAATAAGAAATTAATTTAATCTTTTTCATTGATCTGTATGGTTTTTTCAGGTCACAAGGGTGTCGTTAAAGATCTTATCGACAAAGCCGATATTAATGCTAAAGACCTCATTAATGTGACACCTCTTCATTTAGCTGCTGAGAATGGTGCTTGAATATTAAATTCTACTGAAGAAGAAATTAGTCATAAATATATTGCCGGAATACCAAAAGACAGCCAATGACATCTCTAAACCAACTTTTTGAATCATCGAATATTTCGAGCAACTTTTTTCATCTTGTGTGACTTGAGTTCAATATAATCAACTTTACGGCGACACTAGCAGCTTCTCTGCACACACATCGTAGAAGAAGGTACAAAAATCATAGTATTTTGGCAAATGCATCGAGTAACCATTGCAAAACATCAATATGTTTTGGCTAACGCGTAGTAACGGCCCACAGAGAAGCTGTTAGCGTCGTCGTCAAGTTGATTATATTCTAGTAAAGCTATACACGTTTAAAAAAAGTTGCCCAAAAATTCAATGATTCAATGAGTTGGAATTGAGATGGCATTGACTGCTATGTGTCAAATGACTTAAATTTGAAATGTAGTGCCACAATACAAAATCGCTATGAAATTAGTTTGATCTTTTCCATTGATCTGCATTATTGTTTAGGTTACAAGAGTGTCGCTGAAAAGCTACTCAACAAAGGAGCCAAAGTTGATACTATGGACGCTTTTAAGCGGACGCCTCTCCATTATGCTGCCAAGAATGGTAATGTTGGACATTTATGTTCACTAAATAAGAAATTGATTTTCCTTGATCTGTATCATTTTTTCAGGTCACAGTAGTGTCGTTAAAGAGCTCATCGAAAATCGAACTAATGTTAATGCTGAAGACTACCTTAATCAGACAGCGCTGCACTATGCTTCTTGGTAAATTTTTTTCAAACTAAATAATAAATTGGTCCGATCTTCTTCATTGATCTGCGTTTTTTTTTTCAGGAATGGTACTAACCCTGGGAACATAAATTGACCGTAAATAAGAAATTTGCTCAGCGATGCGCGTTACCAGAATTTTGGCTGGTACACAGCACATTTCACCAGTTGCGACTTCGGTCATATATTCGTTGATGCGAGTATAGTGTGAGTACGGCTTACCAGTTAGAACGTGTGTACATAAGGCGCGAACTAAGACGACAATTCACTTCGCAAGAATTGGACCGTTTCGCACACACGTTGTAACTGGTAAACCGTACACACGAGCTCCAGTTTGCTTTGATTCCCATGAACGAATGTATGAACCGAAGTAGCAAATGGTGAAATGTGCTGTGTACCAGCCGATCAACTGGTGACGTGCGTCGCTGAGTGTTGGATCCTTTTCATTGATCTTTGTTATTATTTTAGGTCAAAAGGATGTCGTTGAAAGGCTGCTCAAGGGGAAGGCCACTGTCAATTGTAAAGACAAACTTGGGATGACACCTCTTCATTATGCTGCTTGGTAATGATTTTTTTTGACTAAATAATAATAAATTGGTTCGATCTTCTTCATTGATCTGTGTTTTTTTTTCAGGAATGGTAATGTTGAATATTCAATTTCAGCAAAGGTTTGAACGACAATATGCTAGCTAAAGAACAAAAAGAAAGACGTGTTCTGGCAACATATTAAAAATGTTTCAAATGTTTCGGATGAGTTGAGTAGCCGACGTCAATAGATGGTGCTAGCTTCTACGTGACTGTTTTATTTTGAGAATGATCTTGATATCACACTGTGGTTTGGTCTATTAAATTGATCTGTGTTGTTTTCAGGATACAAGGGTGTCGTTGAAAGGCTTATCAGCGCTGGAGCTGATGTTGATGCTGCAGATCTGAATAATCAGACACCGCTTCATTATGCTGCTGCAAAGGGTAATGTTGATTATTTATTTTGACTAAATAAGAAATTGGTTCGATCTTCTTCATTGATCTGTGTTATTTTTCAGGTCAAAAGGATGTACTTGAAAAGTTGATCACAAAAGCAACCAGTCTCAATCATAAAGATCAATCTGGACAGACACCTCTTCATGCAGCTCTTAAGAATGGTTGTCGTCTTTTCTAATATTCAATTCCCCTAAATAGGAGATTGGTTCGATGTTTTTCATTGATCTGTGCCATATTTCAGGTCACACGGGTACCGCTGAAAGGCTCATCAGCACTAAAGCTGATATTGATGCTGCAGATCTGAATAATCAGACACCGCTTCACTATGCTGCTTTTTATGGTAACGGTTGTCACTATTTATTTTGATCAAATAACAACTTTTTCATTGATCTGTGTTATTTCTAGGACAAAAGAGTGTCATTGACAAGTTGATCTTGAAAAAAGCCAAAGTTAATTCTGTGGACAACACAAAACAAACAGCTCTTCATCTGGCTGCAGTGAATGGTTGGCCAATTAAGTTTTGCATACTTATTTTGACTAAATGAGAAATTGTTCTGATCCATTTCGTTGATCTATGTTATCGTTTAGGTTTTAAGGAAATTGCTGATAACCTGATCAAGGCAGGAACCACTGTTGATCTCCAAGACGCTATTAATAGGACAGCTCTTCATTATGCTTCTAAGAGTGGTAATGTTGAAGAAAAAAAATTTCTCGTTAAATTAGGAATTGGTTTGATCTTTTTCATTGATCTGTATTACTTTTCAGGTCAACTTGATGTCGTTGAAAAGCTGATCAAGAAAAAAGCCAACGTCAATTTTAAAGACGCAAATGGACAGACACCACTTCATCTTGCGTTAGAGCATGGTGAATGAATATTTAATTCCACTAAATAGGAAATTGATTTGATCTTTTCCATTGATCTGTATTATGTTTCAGGTCACAAGGATGTCGCTGAAAAATTGATCAGGGGCGGAGCCAATGTTAATTTGAAAGACAACAATAATCAGACACCTGCTGAAACTGCTGCTAAGAGTAATGGTAATGTTAAATTTTTTTTCACTTGATAAGAAATCGGTTTGATCTTTTTCATTGAACTGTGCAATTTTCAGGTTACATCAATATGGCTGGAGGCATGCTGAAGGGGGGTGCAACCACAGCTTATAACATTTTTGCGCCGCCTCAGGTTAAAGGTGCAGTTGCTGTAACGAAAGGGTAAGCAATTTATTGGCCGAGACCATAGTCATAGCTAGATTTTTATTAATTGTGCAATTCTTTTTCTCCAGTTTATATGATGCGTATAATAACAATGCAACCATTGTTGAAGCTGTTAGGTCCTCCGCCATGGCAGGGTAAAACCAATCTTAATTTGTTGAACATAGAATTTGGAATTTGCTTAACTGATGAGTTATTTTTTGTTTGAAATCTAGCCTCGAACATATTGTGCCAGGAGGCCCTGTAGTCTCTAATATGGCAAAGAATCTTATGAATGGTACTGATATCCAAACAGTAATGCAGCAAGGGTATGATAATTTTATGAAAAAAACATTCGATTGCAATAAATTCTTTTTCTTAAATCAGTGGAGCAGATTTGGCGGGTCATTTTGGTGGTGAAGGCGGAAAAATGGCATTTAATATTGCTAATGATCTTCGGAACGGCGCCAGCATGCAGGATATCATAGCTAAAAAGTATGTATCAAAGCTTTGAAATTTAAAGTAGACTTATTCCATTTTACTTTCATTCAAATTAACTTATCCATTTACTGTTCATTTGCTAACTCTTTCGTTCGTAGTGGCGAAGCAGCAGTAAGACAGTACGCTAATGCTGTCCCTGGCTTGAAATCTGCACTGGACTCTTTTGACAAAGCGAAAGGCCTTATGAATGGGTATGCTAAGTTCACTTCAACAAATATCTTATCGGTTGATTGCAAATTATAATAATCTTTCCTTCAATTTTCTTCAGTGATTTAGGTGCAGTAAATAACCTAGTCGGAAACAGTGTGAAAAACATGATCAGAAAGTAAAAAGTATCACTCAAAATATCACGAGTAAAACTGGAAATAATACAAATTGAGGTGTGACATCACTATTTGTTGAAGAAAAAAAAATGAAAAATGAAACTTACACTTCGAACAGCTTTTATTTCTTATCATGTAATTGGTATTGAATATTTGCCGTCGTGCAAAATTAATATACTGAACGTCTTACTAATAAATATTGAATGCAAATGTTTAAAACTAATTTATTTTCAATTTCTGTGCATATTAGTTGTTTTGATATAAAAAGAAGTATCGATACCAAAAGTTTGCACTCAATACCGTATTTTGCTATGTTGTTTGTTTTGATTGAGTTGTTAGCATATTGAATGATTTCGAGGCGCAGATGTTTATATAAAAGAAGAGACTGTTTTCATTTCGGGACTATCAGTTGTTTGGACACTTTTAGCAATGATACATAATAGAGAGCCAAGTGATGATGCACAAAAGATTGTCAATTTTAACACTGCGAAACTGATGATCGATTTTGGCAGAGACAAGGCGATGAAAAGTGTTTTCGTTCCACCAGAGGTAAAGGCAATTGTTACTGCTGGAAAGGTGTAAGTAAATTCACTACTTGGATCTACTTCTGAGGGCACAAAAAATGCGTCCGGTTAGAACAAAATTTGATTTCAATTCATAGCTTTTTCATTCAACGAATTTCCATTTTAGTGTATATTCAACGGGGGAAACGCTTAAAGTAACAGGGGACTTAACTCGTGCACTCCATGCTGGCGCCGACTCAGGCATAAAAGGGTTTCTATTTAAATTTTACTTGATTTTGTTTTCATTTTAATCCGATTTAATAAACTTGTTCCCAGTGTCGCAGATATTGTAAAATCAATACCTGGCTTTGGCTTGGCAAGGATTGGATCAAATGTTGCCATAGATTTATATGAGGGAAAAGATTTAAAGTCAGTTATAGAAGAACGGTACGTAGATGAAATAATAATGGAATATGAATTACGAAAGAGATTCATTTGATTTCAGCGGTGAAGAAGCACTGAAGAATGTTTCTACCAAATTGGTTGGTGATAATGTGGCTAAAGTGGCATTTGATCTTGTAAAAGATCTTCATAATGGTGAGAGTATTAAAAATGTAGTTTCGAAAAGGTATGATAAGTCACTGATTTAAAAGATGAAATTAAAGGTTCTTGACCATTCAATTTGCTCTTTTTGAATTAGTTGTAAAACCGTGTTATTGAACTATGCAATCGATAATCCAGATTCGAAAGCGGCAATGAAATTCAAAGAAACCGGCAAAATTATGCAAAATACTCATGTCGGAAGGATAAATAGCGTTAAAGACCTTGGAACGTATGCACAAGTCCTGGATGAAAAGAATATTCATGACATTGACAACATTCGGAATGGGTGAAACTTATTTCAAATATATTCTACTTCCGGTAAGCTTGTAATTTACTTTTTTTTTCTCTACAATAGGATCACCAAATTAGTTAGCGATGCAGAGAATATTGTTGAAGGAGATGTGATTTCAACAGAGAGCAGTAACGAACAACATGACATTCCTATATCCAAAGTTCCAGATCACTAACAGTCTAACAGCAAAA